GCCCAACGTGTCTTAGATTATAAGTCCCTAAAATGCAAAATTTTGGTTTATTATGATTTCATTAATTCCCTTAGGGCAAGGTGGACACAATTAGGTATTTACTTTATTCCTAAATGAAGTCTGTTCTCATAAAGTAATATTCTAATTTCTAAATAAACAGGAAAGTGATATGACGACAAGTAATATGAAAAAATAAACAGAAAGAGAGAACAGAAAGTGAAACTGAGTGGACACTGTATTGAGATAAGGTGAGGTGGACAAAGGCCTGAGGGAGGTGAGGGAACATGTAGACATCTGGTGGCTGAGTGTTCCAGGCAGAGGGAACGGCAAATGTAAAGGCCCTAAGGAGAGATCATGTTGGGAATGAGTATGGAGGCCAGTGTATGCCTGGAGTGAAGAGGAGATAGGAAAGACGTTCCGAGCCTCACAGGCAGTGATCAGGAAAGGATGGAAGTTAAAAAAGCAGAACTACATAGTAAGGAAACTGCAAAGAGTGCAGTGTGCCTGCAGCATAAGGCATGAGACAGGTTTGGCAAGAGATGAGGGTGGGACTAGATTCTCTGGAGAGCTTTTCTAACTCAACTTTAAGCAGTGAAAAGCCACTCATTTTAAGTTGGGGATTTTTTTAAATAAATGCATGCAAAAGGTAAAACATTGAAACAGTGAAAGGCAAGCCCCCTTCCCTCTGCTGATCCCAGTTCTTCCCAGAAACATTATTACTATTTTCTTTTGTACTCTTCTAGGGATATCCAGATATTTATCACCGTGCATGTACATAATGCCCTTGTCCCATTTTTGCACAATTGGTAGCACTTTACACTATCATGCACCCAACTTTTGTGATACTGTATATTCTGCTGAATATTCCATAACAGAATTTCAAGATTCCTTTCAATGGCTAACTTGTGTTCCATTGGGTGCAAAGGACTATGAGCCAGAAGCCCTGGGCTCTGGTTCTTGGTTCTTGATTTGTTGCTTCCTAGTGGAGTGGCTTAGAATGTCATTTCCCTCCAATGAGACTCAGGTTCATCATCCATAAAGGGAGGTGGGCGATGGCTGCGATTGCTCGACTTTAACATTGTAGTTTCTTTGCTCTTGCCACACACATGTTGCAAAGTGTTCTGTAGGGAAAGAGGCCCAACACTCCCCAGAAAGCTCTGATCATTATCCAGTTTTTAAAGTTTCAAATTTTAAATGCATCAAGGTAATTCATGTATACCCATTAAGAAGCCAAATATTTCTAAAAGGCATAGAATGAAAAGCAACAGTTCCTTGTTCTACTCCCTCCCCACTCCCAAGTCCGATTCCAAACAGGTAACCATTGAATTCCTTAGCGATTTCTCACAGTATTTGCTATCATCTTTTTAAATGACATGTTTATATTATACTTTTGATGTTATTTTTAGGTATATTTACATATTGTCCTGAAAAATGAAGATTTAGTTGCTTTACAATCACCTTTCACACACACACACATTTCCTTCTTCCTTCATCTCCCTAGTATATATTTTTCTTTTCAGAAAGAAAAGCTCTCTCAGAGAGCACAAGTGCTGTCCCTAGTACATAATTTTAACACATTTTTTGTTACATCCATTTTAAATTGTTTTGTTATGACTACATAAACATTGTTCACTGTAGAGCCAAATGGTGTCCTATAATTATTACTTTCCTCTTTGTTTTCCTGGAATTTTCTTCTTAGCTTTTGTCAAGTATATCTAAGTTTTCTACACATCCAATTAGCTCTGTAAAACGCCTCAATTCAACTTTCAAAACAGCCACACCTATCAGATAAACTATTACTTGTATCTTTCCCCTCTTGATTTATCTTCCTGGACCCATCTACCCTGGCCCTACAGCTCCAATAAGGTTCTCTCTAGAGTTGATAGACAGCTGCCTATCTTGGGTTAGACGCCTATTTCCAGAATCCTATGTCTCTCTTCCTTGGTTTACAAGCACCAGTAGCCTTTTGAGAAAGGGTGTCTAGGAGGCAAAACTTTTGAGACCTTATATATCTGAGAATATCTTTAATTTACCCTCACCCTGGGTTGTTTGGCTAGGTATGAAATTCTAACCTGGAAACCATTTCCCTTCATAATTTTGAAGGCATACTCTAATGTCTTCTAAATGCCAGCGTTGTTGTTGGGAAATCTGATGCTGCTCTGATCCTTATTTTATAAGAAACCTGAAACCTATTCTGTCTGGATTCCTCTGTGTTCTCAGTGATCTGGTTTTACAATGATGTATTTTGGTGTGGGTCATTTTTCATTCATAATTCTGGGTATTCAGTAGGACCTTTTATTCTGAGACTTACATACTTGTTTTCTGGATATTATCTGAAATTTCTTTCATAATTTGCTCTCTTCCATTTTCTCATTTCTCACTGTCTGGAACTCAGATGATTCATACCTTGGATGTGCTCAGCTGATCTAAATTTCTTATTTTTTCTTGCCTATTATCCCTTTCTTTGTCCTTTTGTTCTCTTTTGGGGCAAATTTCCACAACTTTCAGTGCAAACCCTTCTGGGTTTTTTTAATTGGATTTTAAATTTTCTACTATTTTCCAATGGCTCTTTCATGGTCTCAGATTTTTTTATATATAGCATTCTGTTCTTGTGTTACAGGTACAATATTTCTCATTACTCTAAGGATATTAAAGTTCTCTTTTAAATAAATTTTTATTCTCTCTGCATTCATTGTCTGTTTCACCATGGTTTCTTTGGTTTTAATCTTTGATTCACATATTAGAGGATTTCCTCAGGTATGTGGTGATCCTTGGCTCTCAGTTCAAATTTACAAGTGAGGCATTAAAAAGATTATCAGAATCTCTGAGTGCAAGAATAGGGCTTATTGAATGACAGGATTCAGAGTAAGAATCAATGGATTCTCAGGAATCCCTAGATTGAGAGGCCCCCATCCCAAATCTTTTCTCTTTGTTAGGTCATTTTCTCCAAGCAGAAACATCTAATTTTCTGCCAAGGGAACAGGAGGTGGTATCAGACTGGCTGATAATGTCCAGAGGCTACATGGAGAAGCCCCCATTCTGAAGCTATCTAGGGGTCCACCAAGATCCACCAAGAGTCACCTTATTAGCATAAACTCAGGTGTGCTTAAGGAGGCTTCTTATGAATATCAAAAGATAACACCTCTCAGCCCTATCACTCAAAAAATTCCAAGTGTTTGAGAACCCTGTGTCAGGAACTGGGACAATTCTCATGTCAGGAACTGGGGACAAAGATCAAAGATATATTTATTATATCACAATAGCATACCTCCCTAACGTGAGTGTCCCTCATTCAATCAGTCGAAGGCCTTTATGCAACAAAAAGGCTCACCCCCCTGTGAGTAAGAGGGGACTCCTCCTGCCTGATTGCTTTAAGGTAGCACACAGATCTTTTTTGACCTTTACACTTTGTAATTATTTGTGGAATGATTGAAAGAACTTTAAAATTTTATGTTACATTTAAAATAATGTATTTTTAAACATTCAAATGAAAAACAGTTCATTGCAGAAAATTACACAATTTTCAGAAAAAAAATTTAGTTAAGAAACATGTACAGTACACACGTAAAAAAAGTGTGTGTAACACAGAAAAGTCCTCCGTGCTTGTCTATGAACACTTTCTGACTTACTCTTAAGTGGCCCATCAATTCTAAAACTATAAACAACTAACAAACAGCTATGTAAACATTCAAAGTGCCACAGAAATAAACTTCATGCATGCAGCATTTCTTTGGCAACCTCATCTTTCCATAGATAACATCTTGTGCTACCCCAATCAATGTCAGAGACTTGTTACAATGAAACTCATATATCATTTGAACACAACTGTTCAAATAAAAACAAAAATTTTGATCAGTTTTCTTATGCACAATTAGGTTTTAACATTGGAGAATAACACATTCTTTCCCCCATATCCCTACTTTTTAAACTTTTCTAGCAATCTCAAGTTTGGTCTAAGACTAACATCACTGCAAATAAATAAGGTCTTCTCTGGCACCAGCCTCTGCAGGTGCACTGTGAAGAGGTTACAGACTGAGGGGCCCTGAGGATGAATTTGGGGTCCCTGCTTTCTGCCTGTTGGAGTGACCCAAGAAGCCCCAGCGCTCCTGCAATGCAAGAGGTGACATTTCTTTCTCTTATCCTTACTTCATATAAAACTACTCTCGTCAAACTTGAAAATCTGTATCCTTTGATTTTTTTTAAACAAATAAGTTGTTATATAACAAGTATAAATCCGTTTCTCAAGGAAGCACAGAACAATAAAAAACTACATATAAGAAAGTACAGTGCTTCCTACTTAGACCCCTGTCCACTCTTTCTTGAGGGGCTCCTAGGATCTCGATGGGCCTCCTTGGGGCTACACTGGGAAAGGAAAGCAACAAGGAAGTGCCAGAGGCAGAATGGGGAGCTGTTCACGAAGGAAAAAAGAAATCCTGAGATTTGGTGCAACCATTTTCTCCTGTTTTCACAGGATCAGGAGAGCACATTAGTTTCCTGGAAGTCCCTTACAAATATGTGGAGCTGAAAGGACTTCACATTAGTAGCATCTCAAGTAAAAGCTGTTGAGAAGCCCCCAGAAGCTGACCTCAGCCCTCAACACAACACAGCAGGTTTTCCTATTATTCATCATCAGTGAAATCATCTTTTATCTGATGAGAGGCAATGACCTTAGGGTTTCTATTTGAATAACTTCTACCTGGAATTGCATCAGAAGCAGCCTCAAACATACCAGCCTCACTTTAGTTATTATAACATTCTATAAGGCAGAGAACCCTTAATAGGTCATCAGAATTATCTGGGGAGCTTGTTTAAAATACTGTAGGTTCGAGAGCTCCACTCCCAGAGGTTTTGATTCAATAGGCCTTGAGTGGGGTGTGGAAATGCGCATTTTCAACAGGGGTTCCCAGGTGGTTTTGATGGAGGTGGTGTGAGGCCCACAATTTGAGTAACACTGGCTTTAGAGGGAGAGGCCAGAATTTCTTCCTTCCCAGAATAAAACCCAAGGCCACCACGACTTCTCAAAGGGTCTTCCTTGAAGAGGCGTCTGGTGAGGAGGTCATCTAGACTCATCCTCAAAAACTCAGGGAGTGAGTTTCCATGGTGCCCAACTCTATAAGTGAACCAAAAAGTGGGTTCACACTTGGCTAGACTTGAGGTTAAGAAGCAAAATCCCAAAGTACCGGGGAAAGTTCTGGTTGCTCTGGTCAGGGGGCCCATGGTACAATTCTTCCTTTCCCTTCTTCCTTTTCACTGTTGTCGAGCTAAGGAGGCCAAGTAGACCCACACAGATAATATGTTGTTTGGGTATGGGTGAATGTATACAGCGAGAGCAAATTCTGTCTGGGGAAGTTCCGAGGAGTGGGTTCCAGTTTGATACACGGCGTCAACCACTGACTGCACATCAGTGTATGACATCTGGATGGGAAATCCTGCAATCTGGACCAAAAGACACAATGACATGTGAACCCACATTACAGTCATGTAAGTAATTGTATGCAAAAAGATTACAGAAGCCTCAAAGAAACCATAGTCATAAAATAATAATGGTTACTTTGTGGTTGCTTACTCTGTCCTAGGTCAGTGCTAAATGCTTCATATACATATTTAATCCTCAAACAACCTTATATGGTAGGTTCTGTTATAATCCCTACTCTACAGACAGGAGCAGGGCCAGGGTGATGCCAGAGCCTGCACACTAAACATTCCACATACTTGCACCCTTTCTGGAATAGCAAGCTGCCAACAAGAAAATCACTTGGTCTTACAAATGAGGGACTTAAGTGAGAATTTAGGAAGAATGTATTAACATAGGTTGTTTATATTCATTAAGTGATAACTGTGAGACAGGATTAAAGGGTTATGGAACATAGGTTATGCAAAATTACCTAAGACAAACCATAAACCTCCTCCAGGCCTTTGTTTACTGCTGGAGGCTTTCCCTGATCCTCAAATCTGCTCACATGCTCTCTCCATATGGTTGCATAGTACACTGTCCTTCCTTAGCTTATATAATAAAATACTGTGTTGCAATTACATGTTTTCTGGTCAGTCTAACTAGCCCTTAGTCTCTGTGAATGCACAAACCCCGTGCCTAGAACAATGCCTGGCACAGAGAATACAAATAATGGTTAGCATTTACTAAACACTTGCTGGGTGCTACAGTAAATATTACCTCCACTTATCCTCACCACCACAACCATAAAACATGTAAGTAGTTCTATCCCTATTTATCTTGCCCAATAGAGTAGAAAATGTAGACAAGTTAGATAACTTGGTTAAAGCTAGAGAGTGGTTGAGGCAGGATTTGAACCCTACCTACAGGATTTAGTGCAGGTTTATGATTATTATTGTTTCTTATTAAGTAGTCAAAATTTTACAAAGGAGCTCCAAGTTTTAAACCTTGGCATGGATTTAACTGTCTTATCTGTTTACCCCCAAGCCTATTAAAAAGAAAGCAACACAAAAGAACTGCCCCCCTATTCATGGAAAGTGACTGCAGATCCCTCCCTGGCAACCTAGGTACTCAACTCCCGACAGATTCCTTCCTGTCTACTCTCAGAGGAGTCATCTTCTAGTCTAGGAGATGACGGGGTAGGAATCCCACTCCTGGGAGGCGAGGCTTCAAAAACTCGCTGGACCAGTTCATAGGGAGGAAGAGGTAAGAGGATTCCCAGGACTGGGGCTTTGGCAGGGGAAGGAAAGGAGGACCCGAACACTGTGCCAAATGCCCACCATGCTGGTTATGGACTTGATGAGTCTGAGATGCTTTTTTATCATCCAGGATGATGTCAGATGTGTTGGCAAATACATAAAAGAAGAAGTCAGGAGAGAAGCTGAGGATGGATGTATAAATTTGAGGGTAATTTGCATACAGGAGAAATTAAAGCTTGCCTGGAGTCCTCTTGCCCAGAACCAAGGACAGGAAATCCACTCTATTACTACCATCTAGAGACCTTTTTTTCAGTTTCTTAGTTGCAGGGGGTTTCCTTTGGGCATCTTTTTCCAAAGTTTGTGGTTAACACATCATAAAACATAAGACTGATTCAAGAAAATGTCATGCAATGTGGTCATGGTAATAGCTGTTCACTACATTTTAAATTTTTTGGTCTATAAATAAATGCATTTTAATGCCATAGTATCTATCATCTAGGATCAAGATAAAAGGTATTTCAGAGATATATAAGAGTACTATTACCTGACAATGAACAAAATAGAAAAATGTGTCATTAATGCATCAAATCATATACAAACCCAATAAAATTGTAGTAGTCTTTCAAATTCACTCTCTTCTTCAGAGGAAACAAAGCTTCCAAGGCCAAGTTCTAGCTTAGGAAGAATTTGTCGCAAAATAAAAGTGCACTGTCGATTCCAACGTGTTGGCTGCTTAGGTCGCCATTCCATAATTTTACATTTCAGAGTCCTTTCAATCCTACAATGATTATATTTATGACAAATTACAACTCATTTAATAAAAAATGTGAAAAGAGCTTTGTCACTTTTACTCAAGCATGAGGATGATACATTTTTTATTTAGGAGGAAACAAGACCTCTGGCTAGGGATATCTGCCGTCATTCACATGAATCACATTTGGGAGAAGCAGGTTCTTTCTTGGCTTGGGGAAGCAAGAAGCTTCCTGGGGTAGCCAGCCATTAGGTGTCAAAGGCACATCTCTTTTTCAGTTAACTATGTGTGGGCTCCTACCTACTGGGTGTGATGTGACACCTACTGTCAGATTACTGGGTTGACATTCCTATTCTCCAAGACTCTCCTTTGACATAGGACACTGGGTTTCTAAGACAGACTGCCTTTACGAAAATTCAGATATCTGGTCTGGGAAACTGTTAGCAGGTATGAGTTTATTAGATCAGTTAATTCAGTAAGCAGGGTTGGGAGGAAACAAGGCACTGGACTGCTAAGTATGATGATCAGTTTCCCCTACAACAGTGTACACTCCATAAGGGCGGGGATTTTTGCCTGTGTGCCCAGTCCCCAAAACAGTGCCTGGTGATGAACTGTACCAGGGAGAGAGAGAGGTGGAGCACAGTGTGGGCTGGTTGATGGGGCCCTCCTGGAAAGCTTGTCCTCTGGGCAGAATCAGTGTGTGCTTCAGACGAAGCTGCTGGAGTCCCTCTTGGCTGAGTCTGTAGTGTAACTAAGTAGTTTGGAGTTTGCAAAAAGTCTCAGTAGTGGCTGGACATCAGAATCACAGGTAGAACTTAATCAAAATGTTTCATCTCCAGATATTGATTCAACAAGTCTGGTCTGGGACCCAGGCACCTGTATATTTAAATAGTTCAGGAAGCAATTCTGATGAAAACCAGAAGTTGGGAACCATTTCCCAACTGCATTTCTTCCCTTTTTTGTTAAGAACTGGAAAAGAAGGCAGGGAATAAGAGGTGGGTGTTATGTGCTAGTGAAAGAAGGGAGTGGCAAATGGTTTATGTCTTGCTTGGCTTTGATTAGTTGGCAGTAGCTCACGTGCCAGTCTGCTATGTCAACATGAGTCACTGGAGGCAGTCAGATCTAGAAGTGTCTGACACATCTGGAGTAGGAAAGGCCTGCTGCAAAGATTGTGACTCTTTGGGCTTGACTGAACAACAACTTGGGGTGTGTGTGTGTGTGTGTGTGTGTGTGTGTGTGTTTGGGGAAAGGCAAGAGCCTCGGAGGGACAGTATTGATGTTTCCACCACCCAACTTGGATGTTTTTAACCAATTAGTGGGCCATTTACCTTCATGTCCTTTCAAGAAGTGTTAGCTACTGTATTATTACTATAGGCTCAACAGGTGTTTGTGTTGAGAACAGTAGCCCACACTGTTTTCCAAAGGCAACCATTTTTAACTTGGCCTGTCATTTCAAGAAGCATCCAGAAAAAAAAGAAAAGCAGCATCCAGGATGGCAGGGAATGCTTCAATGCATGTACCAAGAGACAGATGACTCAATGGAAGTAACTATTATAATCTCCATTTCATGCTTCTGTTGCTGAATCTAATAGGTGATTTGAGAGACTAGTTTAGAGTGTAATGGAGTGAAATGCTTGACCACCCCCCCAACCACATCTTGTTCAAGCCTGCTGTGTTCTTGCATATAGACACGCTAATCATTAGAGGGATTCTGGTTAAGGCCTGAGTTTTTACAAAAACAGCCCTTTGCTGGAAGGTGATTCTCCAGAGGAGAAGGGGAATGTGTACAAAAACAATGATTGTTTATCAAAGATTTGCAGGAGCCTCAAGACCAGATCATCAGCTGGGGTCAACAGACCAGGAACAAAGAGATTTAGAAATTTTTTGGTCTTCCTCAAATCCCTGCTGGTACCCAGATATCTGGAGTCATCATTTACCTCTTGCCCCTCCCATTTCCCCTTCCCTTGACATAAAAGAAGCCTAACTCTGTACTTTCTTAAGACGAATTTGAGAAACTACTTAGGAGGGCTCCCATCTTCTCAGTTGGCATCTTCTTGATCTATAAACCTTTCCTTACTCCAAACTCTGACATTTTGAGTTTTTGCCTTTATAAGTGTTGAGTACTTGAACTTTGGACCAGTAACAAGAGGACTAAAAGGTGGCTTATTGGGAGATTAGGGAGAAAACATGCTAATCATAATGAAATTTTACAAATCATACCTGTTCTTTAGATCGTCTACCATGCTTTTATTAGTATCAGAATAAATTATTTCTTCAGGCTGAAATACAGACAACTGAAAGTTAGAAAAGATTCTAGGGAGACCATTTTTACATCACGGTCACCCCTGGAGTGCTAACTATAATGAGGGGGAACCCAAACCTGTCTCATGGTGAAAACATTGAATCACAGAGGCACAAAGGTAAAACACAGGTAACAGTATTTTCTTTGATTTTAAAACCACTTCACTGAACAGGTAGGGGGAATGAATTCACAAAAGGTATTTTCTATGGGTAAGACAAGTTTGCTGCCTCCAATTCATTTATTCCAACAAGCATTTGACACGCTTACTGGTTCTACCAGATAATCTTTGGCAGCTGCACAGGTCTCTTCCACTTACTGTGACCTTGGTGAAGTTACTTAACCTGTCTCAGTTACCACACCTTTACAAGAGGGACAATAACAGTACCCACGTCTCTGGGGATTTGTGAAAATTTTAAAATAATATAATACATGTAAAACCTGGCACATATTGCTCAATAAACATCTGATATTATTGTTGTTACCACTCTCCTAACACGGCTTATCCTCTTTATTCTTTGATATTTGTTTCTTTCAGCTGGCAGGAGCCAGGGTTTTGCACTTGTATGCACACACACATGCGCTCACACACAGTCCTCTGTCCCCAAGCCTTTGCTCCAGCACCCCACCAACAGCAGGGAGCAGTGCTCGACCATGTTCCCCCCACCAGCAGAATGTGCTGGGAGGAGGCCAGGACTTCTCAAGTCCACCCCCGGCCCCATCCCAAACTTAGCCCTCCCCTCCTTGCAGGGCTCACACAGACAAGAGTGAGGAGCTAAAGTCACAGTTTTTACTTTGGGAATTTCTGAGCTGAGAAATGGAGGCAGATGGAGAGAAGGGAACAGATGTTTCTCCCTCATGAGTGGAATGAGGGTTATGATTTAAAAAGGGGGCAACACTTGTCAGGCCTCTAGGTCCCAGAAAATTTCAGGAGTGATTTGAGAAGTCTGTCAGGTGGTGATCTAAACCAGTGGTTCCCAAAGTGTGGCCTGGAAACTTGTTAGAGATTCAGATTCTCCACCCCCACCTAAGATCCACTGCATCAGAAACTCTGAGGGTAAGGCCCAGCAATTCATGTTTCAACAAGCCCTCCAGGTGGTTCTGATGCCTGCCATGGTTGGAGAACCACTAGATTAGGTAACAGGGTCAAGACTGGGAGTTTCCTGCAATAGAACATGGCAGGAGATGGGAGATACCGGAGAAAGGAAATATGAAATCCACCACCATCTTGAAGGGGCCACCAACTATTCCAGACAGGACAGGTAACTAATTCCCTGACTGCTGTCCCTCCACGCCGTGTCCCTCCCCCACACCTTTCTCCCTATCCCTCAACCCCCCAATCCAGGCAACTCTTGTGGATTAGTTAGGTCCCCTTCAGGCCTGAGAAAGAGGCCTGGGTTACAGTGACTTGATAAATTTATGGATGTTAATCCAATTTCCTTTTCTGGCAAAGACCCCTTTCTTTCAGGGAATTCATATCCTTTAACGCTTCAAGAGGACTTCCCTGTTAACTTATCTCTGAATCCCCACACTGTCATTATGCACACTCAAATTTGTGTTCTCAATTGTGGTAACAAACACAGTGTTCCCTATAGATAGTGGTTATTGTGGTGTAAGTGTGGTAAGGCGGAAGATCAAGGGCCATTAGCCTACAGGAAAAAAATAGTAGAGATACAAATCAAAAGCAACAATGAGTTTTATATTTATCAATTCAATTTGGCAAAGGGTTTAGATTCCACCCTCAGGCAGAGGGTGGCTTTTAAAACACAATTTTGATCATGGCAGCCCTTGCCTTGGTAAGGTTAGTTTCTGATTGCCCTGAGGATAAAGGCCCAAATCCTACCAGGATGCAGCTCATCCCTGAGCTCATCTCTGCCCAGTCCCTGGGGCAGCAAAGCTGGCCTTTCAGCTCCTTGACAGACAGCTCCCAGCTACCGCCTGTCTTCACGCCTGCTGCTCCTGCTCTCGCTGGGCCAGCTCCTGCTCACCCTTCCTCGTCCTGCGGCATCACTGTTTCTCCAGGAAGCCCCTGCATGCAGCTCTCCTTCCCGTCAGGTCCCCCCTGCTGTGTACCCTGCAAAGCACATTCACTTCTCCTGTAAGAACACTTATCTCTCTGCACCGCAAGTGCTTGTTTCCTGCTGTTTCTTCCTCTAGAACATGAGTCCCAAGAATACTGAGACACATGTTCCTCCTGGGGGTACCTATACCCACCAGCGCTGGCTCATAGCTCACTCAATAAACATTACCTGGATGAATGATGCCATGATTAACAGTAAACCAGAAACCTCATCTCTAAATATAGCCTCCCCTCCCTGGAAGACAGCAATGCTTCACTCACAACTTTGGGATGGGAAAGGCAAGATATGGCCTGTGGATGCTGTAAATGTGGTTTGCTCAGGAGAGATAAGCACATTTCCTCTCTTTAAAATAACTTTACAAACAGGAAAACGCACATGTATAAAGCATATAAATGTATGCTTGCAGCTGCATGGAGCATGTTTAGAAGGATGCTTGGGGGTAAGAAATAGAAGAGGAGAGACGCCCCTCACTTGATGTTCCTGATCTCTTCCCCCAAACCACCATGCATTCATTCTGATATTGTAACTGGCCTCAAATATACAGACAAGCACCTTCTATAAATTGTCTCCTGCCTACTTTTCTATTGTTCTTTTGTCTTTATCTCGCCTCCTCCCTCTCTCCCCCTGGGCTCATAGCTCCTAGGTTTTGGATTTTGCAATTGCCTGCGGCCTGCCATACCATGGCCCTCAATCCTGTAACAGCTGTTGAAATGGATTCTGGGAAACTGAGTACAAAGCGAACTGGGTATGTCGCAGGGGCACTGACTGGCCCGTCTGGTGATTGAGTTGGTTCCTGATCTCAGGGCTGTGCTTTGGTCTGCCTCCTAGGTCAGCCAGCGGGTCTGCCTCTCTTCCTCCCCATCTTCTTTCAATACTAGCCCAAACTCAGGCTAGATGGCAGAGAAGACTCGATGTTATTACCATTGCCAAATAATTCAATAAGCAATCAGCTGTATAAACATAACAAGAGCTGTCACAACTAGTAAAGATGAGAGCCAAGGGTAACTTTCATACTGACACACCTGGAAAACTATGATTTACCTGTATGCTTTGTGCGTGTGTCCCTTGAACATTTTTTGGAAGCAACTGTTTCCAGAAACTTTCCTTTGAACAGTCAAAATATACAGCCATTGGTGTATTATTTTGTTGAATATTAAACCAGACCTATTAAAACGTTAACATAAAATCAGTACAGGCCCATGGGAGCCTAAAGCCCATAGCTGGTTAGGATGAAGCAAAATTTTATAGTCCTGCTATCCCATGAAGTGGCAGAAGCCCAGGGAAGTTCTGAGGTAGGAGGTAAAGACATTCCAGACTTTCAGGAGCATTAACCTTGGAGGCACTGCAGAATCATCTGGGGGCGGGGGCTTTAGGGATAAAAGATTTCCCTGGCCCCACATCCCAAGGATTCTAATTGAAAATTTATATTTTCGTCAGAGTTCCTCATGTGATTCTATAGCCATGGTGAGGTATAGCCAGGGTGAGAGCCACAGATTTGACTCTTGAGGAGAGAGCTCACAGTAAGCTCCTCCCCCACCCACCCCCATATACTTACATTTCTATCATCAAACAAACAGTCTACACTTTGTAAAGGACAAAATGGGTCAAACTGCTTATGACACTGTCCAGTTAGTGGATTCCAAAGCAAATATTCATCATTTTCATGAGTTAATACATAAGCCACATGCCCCTGTATGAGGAACAGAAGTTGAGTCATTTGGGGAAGGTAACTGACTTAATACATTTTTTAATGTGAAAATTACAATGTAAGCATGTGACATCTTTGATTTCTAAAAGTCTTTTCTAGAGCCTTTCAAGTTTTTTGGAGAAGAAAAAAGCCAGAGCTCCAGAAATCCTTAGGCCCAGGCTAGCATGAGGCGCCAAATGAGAGAACTTGAGCCAGTGCTACCATGTGTGGCCCTGCAGGTGTTCCCTCGCAGCAATAAGACATGTGTTCTAACAAAATCAGTGCATTATGACAGTTTCCCCACAGCTAGTCCTGAAGTGTTTTGAGGTAGGGGCATTGTTGCTAATTCACACTATGGTGCTATATGGACCAGCCTTGCTTTGCATAGAACATACTCTGGAAACTGGGGGTGAGCACCACACAGTTAGGGAATAGAGACTGGCCTAAGTCTCCGAAAAAGCCAAGTGAAGTTAAAAAGCCATTAAATTAAGAACAAGATCGGGAAACCATTTGAGGAATAAAAGTCATCATTATGTTACAATTTTTCTCTGCACATACCTTTTGAAGTGCAAACCTTTCTTAGCAAAGAATAAAAATTTCAGGTAACAAAAATGACTGCCATTTATTGAGTATTTATGTGCATCAAGTAATCTGCTCAGAATTCACACTAATTTTCTTGCTTTGATTCACTCCAAATTCTGTGAGGTAGGAATATTATGCTAATTTTTCAGATGAAAAATCAGAGGTTAAGGAGCTTGTCTAGGGTAACTGTAAATGATATTATTCCTGTTTTGGGAGGAGATAGTAGAAGCTCAGAGAAGTAAAAAAGGATCACACAGTTAGTAAATGGCATTGCTGGGTTTTAAAACCTTCTCTCACTGACCCCCAAGCCCCTACTCTTAACACCATACTGTGTAGCCTGGTTTCCCTAATCCAAAGCTCTAGTTCCTTATCACTGTGTTCACCTCCTTTACAGTAAAGAGGAGACTCCACCTCAGCCACAGAGCTGAGGTCAAACACACAGCTGAGGGGTGCCACCCATGATACTGATTCACAGGTCCAAAAGCAACTGTTTGTTGAAATATTGTTAACTGTTTGCTGCCATCTAGCGGTACTTAAAACTACAACGGAGATCATAGGGGGAAATTAACCATAGGCTTTTAGCTAACACAATCCTGAAACAGAAATAATAAACTACGTCAAGGGAATATAGAGAAATAAGTGATCATGAAAAAACCCTCATGAAACAAGACTGGAAATTTTGACACTGATCAAAATATTCAGGTTGAAACAGAAACAGTTCAAAAGAAGACAGCTTTCTGGAGGTATGAATACAGGAGTACATATATAATTAAGTTGTAAAAATTTCGGGTAAGTAAACATGAATTTCTGGCCCACTTCTTGTATAGGTAAAAACTGAGCAATGGAGAATAGGTAGAAGTATTTCTTAAGGATCTTAAAATATAGTATTAGAAACATATAAAGATGATGGTGGCAATAGTGGTTAACAACCACAACTACTACTGTAACTATTACTACACCACCAACCTCCACCACCACCACCATTATGAGTATCTACCACCAACTAGCTGCTCTTCTCAATGCCATATATTTACTATGTAATATAATATTTCTAGTAACCCCATGAAATAGTACCATTAGTATTCTTTGACAGAGAAGAAAAACAAAAGGATGTCATTCTTTACATCGTATAACTTTTGATGAACCAACATCATCTTCTTGACTAAATAACTGCCCACAAAATTCCTTAAGTAGCTTGTGAAAAGATGGAAACTTGGGGTTGAAGTCTTTTAAACTTGCAGCTGATAGCTGATTATTTTTGTTTACACTATTTCAATATTAACTCCAGCACTTACTTCTAACATTGAGGTTCCCAGGAGGACCAAAGCTTTCTTTCCGAAATACAAAAAGAAATTACAGAGAAGTATGGCATGCTCCTCCTTATTTCCAATAGCCAAACTGATGCAGTGCTAAGGAAAACAAAACCAACAGGAACAACAATAAAGTGGTGGTGGAGAGAAAGGTGAGTCATGCAGTTAATAGTAGGATTAGTCCAAAGCAGAAAGCTCTGGCACCATTTGCCTGATAAAACACTTCAGCATTAGGAGGAGAGAGCATTAGCTTGCAACACAGGGGTTACCTTTACTGTGGGACAGTTAATGTGAATACTGTGTAAGTCACCAAATAATGTACCATCCAAAATGGGACATTTTTGTTTAGGACAAATATTAAACTGCTCTGGGCAAACAGGGACATATGGATTGGTATTTTAGGGAACCTCATCTGATAGGAAATCACAGTGTTTTTGGAGTCTAAAGTTAATGACACCTCTTTGAGTTCTGCTGAATTACTAGGACCACATGCTTGTGTCTTCTTTGTTCTCACTGAGCAGAAGGCTGGGTAACCTACCTATGAAGTTAACCCTGGGCCCCTTAAATCCAATTCAGCTCAAATCTAGCCTCTAAAACATTCCAGATAAGTTCTAGGACTATCAGTTCCAGATGTAAAGTGCCTCTCTCTTAGGCTCCCATCATACTAATATTTTCCAATTAAAAATATTTATGGAATGCTTATGAAATTTAAAGCAGTGCATAAGTGATAAAGATAAAAGTAAATAAGAATCTAGTCTTCCTATTTATTCAAGGAGATTAAACTTGGGATATATATGTACAGAGTATGGGTGTTGGGTCAATCTATAAGCAACTAAATATTATGTAAGGTGGATGGTAGAAGGGCTCTAATTAGGGTTGCCAGATTTGGAGGGGAAGTAGAATGCCCAAGTAAATTTGAATTTTGGATAAACAAATATTTATTATAAATATGTCCCAAATATTGCATGGTGTCTGTATTTTAGTTGGCGTTGAATCTAAAGAGAACTTTAATCCAAGTGCTAAGAAAGAGCACTGTTCTACAAGCTCTTCATTCAGATGTGGGGAGACTGGGAGACCTGGGAAGTGGGAGCATTTGCCCTAGACTTCAGGGTCTGACCAGCTCCATAGTGACAAGCCATATTTCTCTCTGGAGACTGTCAGAATACTGTATTGTACTCCAGAAGTTTCTATTGAATCAAAACATTCATGAGCAACCAATTACAACATTGAGTAAGATTTTTGGTCTTTCAGAATTATTTCTATGGATTGTTAATAGAAATGAAAATGATTAATTAAATTATCAAATGCTTTCAAATTTCACAGGCAAAAGTACTACATATTATAAAGACAGGTTTCTTTAAAAGAAAAGCAAGTAAGAAATATTATACATTTTAATTATAAAATGTAATTTGTTACCTCTGATGTCATCCATATATCAAAACCATCATTTTCATCCAGTGTATCAGGCATAACAGGAATCAAAGATACAAAATGAGCTATGAGGTCCTAGAATAATAGTAAGTAACACTTATTGAGTACATACTATATGCCCATCACAATGCTTTATATGCTTATTATTACATTTAGTGTATCCTATGCAGTACCTACTAGTATTATTTTGTTTTTCAGAAGAGGCAACAAGCTTAGAGTGCTAGGATAATCACACAGCTAACATAATATATGGGGTCTCCAGGAATAAGCCCAAGGTAGCCTGACTCCACAGTGTGCCTGTTAACCATTACATTTCACTGTAATAAATTATTAACATTTTAAACATGATACATCACACATAAACTTTAAAATAAAACTGTTAAAATTGAAAAGAGATGTTGAAGAATAGTATAAGTTTGAATTGCTTTAAGGTTCAAAATCAGAACGACTTGTATTAATATAAACTGTATGAACTGCTGCAGCAGGAAGATGCTGGTAGAGCCTGCTTTCTCAAGCAACAGAAACTATACCATTAATTGTTCCCTCTCTAGGACTAGAGACAAGAACTCAGGCTAAAGTAGGAAAGGAGAAAGGGATACAAATAAATAAAGAGTTAACACAAAGTGCACTGACACTGTCACTGATTTGCAATAGCCACCATTTATCAGCTATTATGACCTCCTACATTGTCATGGCTCACAGCCCTTGACAAGCAAAGGAGCTAGGATTTATATTTTCAAAAACACACACACAAATATTGTCTTTGAAATAAATCTAAGAGCCCTATTATCTCCCTGGACTTTGGGTGTCAGGAAACATAGGCGGGAGGAAATGCAGGATGGAAGAGCGGAGGGTAGGGTAGCAGAAGGCACCTGAATTAGGAGTTTTGACTTTAGCATCGAGTCCAGCTAAGGGAGCTTTATAGTGGACAAACATCCTGAGGAGAGCCAACTGACTCAGTCAAACCTGAATAAATATAAGGTACACATGATTTTTCATAGATGCCCTTTAATCAAAACATTCTTTTAAGGGGAAGGTTTATACTTATGATTTCATATTTTCCTTTCTCAAAGTGGAAGGAGCTATATCCTCTTTTGAGTCTATAATGAATAAATCTTCATTTTATATGAAATTAAATTTTGAGTATGTGTCTCTTTTGTCAGCTGGTAAATAGATAGGCATAAAGTCACATAGGGATGGGGTGGGAAGTGTCATGTTGGCAGTTTACACAGAAAAATATGACACTGTTTTCTTCACTCCCACGAACAATGAGAAGCAATCCTGTGAGAAGCAATCCTTGGAAGAACACAACCCCTGTAGGCACATCACTTTTTATTTTGCCTGGAAGTCAAAGAAAGTTTTGCATCATTTTTCAAAGTTTGATAGATAAGCTGTGAAGCCAGTAAGGTCACATAAGCCGGTGCAGCAACAGTGAGCCTCCAGTGCAAGTGGGTGGAAATAAAGGGGATCAGAAAGATCTTCCCTCTGGGGCTTGGGAGGACTCACTACAACACAGATGGTCTTTCTCTCATGAAACTGTCTTTGAAGGAAAAACAATTTCAGTGAGAAACTTATACTCAAAATTAATATTAAAAAATAAGTTTAAAAATGTCAATTTGGAGTGATGAAATGTTCTGAAATTTACTCTGGAGATGGTGGCACAATTCTATGAAAAATCATTGGATTGTACACTTTAGATGGGTTAATTATGTGGTATGTGAATTATATCTTAACAAAGCTAGTAACATAAATATAACTTACAAGTGTTGCATTAGAATCATGAAGAAATATATCCAGGAGCTGCTGAGGTGGATTTAATGCCTTGATGTATCTTGTTACTAAGATCTGCATCCCGTCATCATTAAAAACAGTTGTTATGATTCTTCGGTTGGGAAAAAGCGCCTTACAATTTTTTGTAAAAATGTGTGCTCTCTCCAAAACATCTATATGATCTGAAAACTAAAATCAAGTTTAAAATACTTCAACATTGTACCATACATATTGTTCCCACAGGGAAATATCAAGCACCGATGTGTGTGTGTGTGTGTTTTGCCAGCTCTGAAATTATTGTTCTTGGTTTTTAAGATAGCTTACACTTCTTTGATAGTATATATAAAAATAATTCAATGTAAAACATACCTTGTCTGGTTCTGGATTACAGGTGACATATGATATTTGAGGTTCAATGGTAGCAAAAATATTTAAAAAGGTACATTCTTTTAAATTTTGCCCATTATAATCTTCTTTAGGAGTCATGTAAGTCTTACTCCAAGTATACCCAAGCAAAACTGGTGGAATGTTTACTTGGAATGTTCCATTAATCTGAAAGAATATATCAATATAATCGATTCTGCATGATGAAAATAAACACCAGTCAAATACAGCATAGCCCCGCTCAGTCTTCTCCACAGGGGGAAGCAGGCCTGCAGGGGTACGTGCTGCCCTGCGGACGTGTACTTGTGCAAGGGTGATCAGATCCTCCACAGTGATCTGTTCCCAGGCACCCTTGACGTGCTGGGTGCCTGCCTGATACGTATTGTGTAAAGAAGGCAGGAGTAAGAAGGTATGAAATGAGGAAGTTACTGTAACAGAGATAAAAACTCTAAAAAAAATCTAATTCAGGCTCAGAGAAAATGTTAAAAGACAACATTACATTTTTCATTGGGTCTAAAAAGAGAAAAAACTGCAACAGCAGGAAGGACAACCTATAGGTCCACAGGAGGAGGGATCATGTGTGTGTGTGTGTGTGTGTGTGTGTGTGTAGAGAGGAGCTAATTTACAATCTTAATAACTAATAATCATTAGCTTAATAGTTATTGAGCACTTACTATGTACAAGGCACTGTGCCAAGTGCTTGATATAGATCACATCATTCAATGAGATAGACACTGCTCTTCTCTCCATTTTGTAGATAAGGAAACTGGGACTCAGAGAATTTAAGTCACTTGTGAAAGATCACAACACAACTGATGAGTAGTAGAGCCAGATTACAACCCAGGTTTGTCTGCCTCTGAAGCTCACATTCTGAGCTGCCTCTCTATCCGAGAGTCTGGCCTGAGACTGAGAATCATATGAAGGGGTTTATGAATGTAGGAAGCCCTGTCCCTTCCAACAACTTAAATCTCTATTGCTCTTTATTTGTAGCACTCATATTTGCGACATGCTCCTTCATGACATCCTGTGACTGCATATTATGCAGACATTTATACTCTCCTCCTTAATATCCATTCTCTTCTCCATTCTTATCAACAGTTTTAGGTGGCAACATGACAGCCATGTAGTGGTCAAGTCACATCAACAAAATATAAGAAGTCTGCTGGGATTATCCAGTGAAGTGTCTGTGTTTCTAATACAGGCCCTGCCACTTCATGCTTCACCCTGACTCCTCTCTGCAACAGGAATATGAGGCTGGAGGTGCAGCGAATGATTTGCAACTTTGAGGATGAAAGCCACATGACAAGGACAGCGGAACAGAAACACAAAAGCAGTTCCTGAAGATATTCTTGAGCTGCTGCACTGGCATCTAGACTTCTTTTTAGATTAAATAAATGGACCCTTTACATTAGCCACGGTTAGGTTTTCTGTGGCATATGGCCAAATGCAGTATTTACTAATACATAAATCCTTCTGAGTCAAATGCCCTCGTTTGCTTGACAAACTCATCTTTAGGACTTGATTCAAAAGTTGTCTTGTCTGTTAATAATTCCCTGGTCTTTCATTCCCCTCCTCATTCCCCTCTTACCCACTCCCAACCCCTCGGAACCACCCCTTTCTTCCCCCCAAACCAGGAAGAGTAAGGTACTCCCTCCTGTATCATTGCACCTATCTCATACCCCTGTCAAAGCTCTACAGCACCATCAGGTTGTACTGAAATTCGTTTTCTTCTATAGACAGTGAACTCCATGGAGGTAGAAAATTCATTTCCGAATCTTCTATATCTGGCACAGCTCTGTAAGTAACAGAGCCCCAAATGGAGTCTAGACTGTAGTTTTTATATTTTTCTGGTCATGTAGACATATTCTTGCTACATAACCCAACAGCAGGGCCCTCTGGGGATATAACAGAGACAGGTACTAATCATCAGTCTCACCATAATGATAAACAGTGCTGAGGAGCCAAAGCTCCCACCCAGAACCCATGCTTAGAAAGCAACATCATTAATCAGAACATTTGTGAATTTGGTCCTAAAAAATTGTTATATTCAAATATAAATGTTGCTTTAAGATGTAAGGCTAGATGTTCCAGTCTTTACCAATATATACTTTAAAGTTTTAGGAAATAAATTTGTGGGTGCCTTCTGTTCTAGAGACAGCTAAAACCTTCAAATACTCCAACACCCCAATGGCTCTCAAATACAAGATCACTTTAACTGACCTAACAATCTGCCAATCACAGAATCTGATTCAGAGACATCAGTAAATGCTTCTATTGGCCAGAGGTAAAAAGAACAATCAGCAAAGAATCATTTTCTATTACCTCAGATTGTTGCAGAAGAGCAGAGAAGGGGAAGACAATGGATCCAAGCCAATTCTTTCTTACATATGAATGACCGCTGCAGCTCCTGAAACAGTGATCCTGTTAAAATAAATAGATTTTCTACTATTTACTTTATATCATGTGATGAATAATTTCACAAACTTGTAGGGAAATATTTAAAAATCCTTCTCTTTCTTTTAAAAAGAAACTGAAGGGTAAATAGAAATTTTTTTCTCCCTTTTTAATTTTTATAAAAAAATAACTGACTAAAGCAAAATAATGACCTGTTGTGGAGCTTGTGACACATGTATGGCTATTTACATTTTTAATGTAATACCTTTATTATAGTAGATATGCTCAGTGCAAGAAACTTAAAAAATACTCTAAAGAATATAGAAGAAAGCTCTGGCAGGGGCACCAGGAAACCCTGTTGGCTCCCGAGGTGCTCTTCCTTTCCCATTCGCCATCTGTGGAGGAGCCACCCCCAAGATGCAGATTTTCGTGAAAACCTTTATGCAGAAGGCCATGACTCTCGAGGCTGAACCCTCAGATATAACAGAAAATGCAAAGGTCAAGATCCAGGATAAGGAAGGAATTTCTCCCAATCAGCAAAGACTGATCTTTGCTGGCAAGCAACTGGAAGATGGACATACTTTGTCTGACTATAGCATTCAGAAGGAGTCCAATCTTCATCTTGTGTTGAGACTTCATGGTGGTGCTAAGAAAAGGAAGAAGTCTTCTACCACTCCCACATTCATCTGACTATATTCCCTACGCTGTACTTTACATCCTCATGACTATACTATAACAACCAATTTGTACTTCTTAATCCCTTCACCTTTTTCACCCATCCCCAACACCCCTCCCATCTGGCAACCATCAAAATGCTCTCTGTATCTATGAGTCTGTTTCTGTTCTGCTTATTTATTTTGTTTTTTAGATTCAGTTGTTGATATGTATTTATTGCCATTTTATTGTTCACATTTCTTATTTTGATTTTTTCTCCTTAAAGAAGAGCCTTTAACATTTCCTGTAACACTGGTTTGGTGGTGATGAACTCCTTTAGATTTTTCTTGTCTGAGAAGCCCTTTATCTGCCCTTGGATTCCAAATGATAGCTTTGCTGGGTAGAATGATCTTGGTTGTAGGTCCTTTTCATTGTTTTGAATATTTCTTGCCAATCCCTTCTGACCTGCAAGGTTTCTGTTGAGAAATCAGCTGACTGTCTTATGGGAGCTCCCTTAAGGGTAACTAACTGCTTTTCTCTTGCTGCTTTTAAGATTCTTTCTTTGTCTTAAACCTTTTGCATTTAAATTATGATGTCTTGGTGTGGGCCTCTTTGGGTTCATCTTGTTTGGGCTTTCTGGGTCTCCTGGACTTGTATATCTGTTTCCTTTACCAAGTTAGGGAAGTTTATGTCATTTTTTCAAATAGGCTTTCAATTTCTTTTTCATTGTTTTTTTTCAAATATGTTTTTATTGATTTCAGAGAGAGAAAGGAAGGGGGAAAGACACATAGAAACATCAATGAGAGAGTCATTGATTGTCTGCCTTCTGCATGCCCTCCACTGGGGATCCAGCCAGAAACCCAGGCATGTGCCCTGACTGGGAATAGAACTGTGACCTCCTGGTTGGTTCATGGGTCGCCACTCAACCACTGAGCCATGCTGGCCGGGCCACATTCAGTAACTTTTAACATTTGATCTAATAGAACTGGCATTTAGAAATCATTTGGTCTTTTGTGTAGAAGTGGTATATTTCCTTTGATCAGACAGTGGAAAATATATAACCCTTTTTCGCTTATCTTTCTATGCTGGCTATCAGGAAGCTCACATTTCAATGTACCATTCAATTGCAGAAACCCACTTCTCCCAAATTCTTGGTATATTTACCCCTCTTCCTTCCACATATGGTTTATGATCTCTTGTTATTTTTTAACTGACTTTTCATATGTCTGGCTTCATTTCAAGTTGCCCAAATGCTTTTTAGAAAATGTTAGAAATATATATTGAATCTAAGAGCAAATTTACAAATATGTTACTAGACTTCACTCAGTTGGACCTTAGAATTATTTCAGCATTATAATAATAATTGTACTTTACCTCATGTTTTTCTATAATCATTTCATCAAAAATGTTGATATATATATTATCTTTTATTTTAGATAAACTTGAGAAGCTATAATCATGTCCTGGTGAGCTGTAAATAAGAAAAACTTATTTAAATGCCTAATTTATTTTATAAGAGCATTATTTATAAAGGACTATAAAATTACCTGTGTTCTTTTCTGTTTTAACATGTAAGCTAAGAAAAAACTAAGTGCTTTTAAGACAACTATCTTTCATTAAAGCTAGTATATGCTTTGTAATTTATCTTATTTATCTCTTAAGCTAACTTGCATGAAGAATAAAAATGTTTAAATGCCAAGCAGAAAGACTTTCTACTACCGGCATCCATTGCAAACAAATGATCTGCAGGATGGTGCATTAAGATTTACCAACTAGCCCTGGCCAGGTGGCTCAGTTGGTTGGCTCATCAGCCCGTGCACCAAAAAGTTTGTGGGTTTGATTCCCAGTCAGGACACATACCTAGGTTGTGGGTTTCATCCCGGGTCCAGGAATGTATGGGAGGCAACTGATTGATGTTTCTCTCTCACATTGATGTCTCCCCCCACCCCTCCCCAAAGCAATGAAAAGCACATCCTTGGGTGAAGATTTAAAAAACAAAGATTTTCCAACTGTCTTAAATTCTGCTAGTTTCTGCTAGTTCACACATATATAGTTAAACTGCTCTTTTGCTCTCAGCTAAAACCTTATTCTCTTTTCCACATTTGTTCTCTCAAACCAGACACTGGGACAATGGGGTGAATTTAATTTTGCAAGCTGTTTGCTAATGGATTACCTGACTGGATACATTTTTGGAGGTAGCTGAAAGAACAATGTATATCACAAGCAATGAACTTTCACTCTCAGCTCCAGCCTGTGTATCGAATCTCAATCAAACTTCCAACAGCTCAGAGAAGTTAAATAACTTGCTCAATCTAATGCCACCAGCAAGTGACAAAGGCCTAATCTGAACCCAATTTTAACTGTCTCCAAGGCCAAGCTCTTTTCACTGTACCAACTGCCACTGACTCCAAGTGATAAGCTGACTTCCCTACCCTGCTCCTTTCAAGAGTTCCCTTTCATGTTGTAATGTCCAAGACAGGACAGGGGAGGCAATGTGTCTTTACTACACTATGCTAGCAGGAGAGATGATAACTGTCACCCTCAAGACATTTTTGAGCATGTCAACTTAGTATATCCTTTAAATCACTCAAGTCCTATATTATCTTGCATTTTGTATTCTACTCAAACTTTCCTCAAATTTCATAATTTCTCCTCCAAAGTAGAGCTCACAAGGCTAATTACTATTTACTATTTATTATTACTACCTACCCCATTTGTACGTGTTTTGTATTCATTAAAATGTCATGTGGGGAAGGGAATAGAGCTTTTGTATCTGAGGCGATGAAAAGTGGTAGCTGAATGGCTTTGCCTTAGCCGAACCCTCTGACCCACCTGGTCATTCTCTAATGTGTTCCTGGCTTATTTCACTGCTGTAATCTCAAGAATACAAATACTCTACAGCCTCCTTCTCTGTAGTTCACTTATAAGTTCCTTTATCTTATTGACTATTTTATGTTATAGTAAGTCCATTTATTTAATATAGTATATTTCTTCTAACTGTCTAAATTAATATACCAAATATTTCCACAATATAACACATTTTATACTTTTACAAACTTTTTAACCAAATATACTTTTATATATAATTACTTAACTTCATATTATACAATATAATATAACTGATTTCCTCTTCAATCAATACTCCCCTTCACATACAAAGAGTTTTTAAAAAGTCAGGTAAGCAGATATCAGAGAATAAGGCAAAGCAAGAAGTACAAGGTCCAGATAAACACCCAAATAACAAGAGTATCTCTGTAAGAACTCTGGCCAAAGACTGAAAATACCATCACACCTGTGTTCAATCTGGAAGAACAGGCTTGATTTCTGCTAATACCATAAGAAGTACCATAGCCTCTGAGCTAGTGAAATTCCAAGGTATACTGATATACTTGATTTTTTTTCTCCCAGTTGAAATAATGGCATCAACAGGATCTTTCTCTTCTTGCAAATCCTGGTTCAAGTCCAGAGGTTTTCACTTTGAGGAGTGGTGGCTGGGATGTGAATATTCACATAGTACAGACAATTTTCTTCAGTGAGATAGGTAGGGGGATTCAGTCAAAGCTCTTTAGCAAGGAAGGACTGGTGGTTGGTGATTGATTCTGTGTTCCCACAGCTTGCATCAGGGCCCTCAAGGCTGTTTGTTTGTTTGTTTGTTTGTTTGTTTGTTTGGAAAATGACCGAATGACTATAGTTTCCTGGTTAGAGCCTATAGCCAGGACCTCATTTGTATAATCTTCTAGGAAAGAGAGTGGCTGGAAGTTGAAAGGAATAGACAGATTGTTTCATCCTGGGAATAAGGACCCACTCACAAAGAACCAAGGTCAAGAACACAGATGCTGGAGGGAAAGCAACACCAGAAGCCCAAGGTCCAGGAGGCCATGAGGTTGGCATTCAAAAGAACCAGAAAAAATTCTGGAGTTAAGAAGTCAAAACAATGCCATCATAGAACCATGCAAATAGTCAAGAACCAAATGATCTACAGAAAAGATTTGGAGAAGGGGGAAAGGACTTTGATAATGGATATGGTTGATAGTCCCTTATATACCTTTCACCCCAGTGAGAGCAAAAATATATAGAAAATGACAACTGAAAATTGCTAATTGAGTTTAGAGAATAATTTTAAGCTCTATGTTTTAAATTTGCCTTGACCAGTGTACTTTATTTCCTATAACAAAAACCTATTTATATAGCTATTGCATAAAATATGAATCTTGAGAAAGAAGATCAAAGCTGGAGACATCACAGTTCCTGGTTTCAAACTATACTACCAAGCTATAGTAGTCAAAACAGTATGGTACTGGCACAAAGACAGCTATAAAGACCACTGGTACAGAATAGCAAGTTGAAGTAGAATTCAACTACAACCTGGCAATTCCACACCTAAACATACGTTCTAGAGCAAAGGTTTTCAGTAACACTCGGGAACTTGTTAGAAATGGAATGATCAGGCCCTACCCTAGACCTATTGAATTAGGAACTATGGGGGGGTGGGCCCAGAAATGTTTTAAGAAGCTGTACAGGTGATTTATAAATCACAAAACAGTTTGAGAGCTACTGTCTTATAAATAAACTCTTGCATTTGTGCTCCAGAAGACAGCACAAGAATGTTCAGAGCAACACTACTGCAACAGCAAAACATTAAAACAAGCCAAATGTTTATCAACAGGAGAAAGTATAAATAAACAATGTCATTTTACTACAGTGGAATACTATGTAGATGTGAAAATAAAGGGAGGGAGGGAGGACTATAAATATAAAAACATGGATGAACCTCTCAGAACAATTAAATAAAAAGAAACAAGATTGCAAAAGATGATTCAATTTATATAAAGTTGAAAAACATCCACGAGTAAATAATACATAGTCAGGGATAATACTTATGATCTAAAGTCATCAGGGAAGAGAGGCAATGATAAGCACAAATTCAAGGTTGTTACCTCTGGGGGAAGAGGAGGGATATAATTAGGAATTGGCACAGAAGTGTCTTCAAAGGTATTGGTAACATCTACTTTTTAACCTGGAAGGTATGTATACAGGTATTCATTTTATCATTTTTCCTCAGAATTTACATTTATATATACATTATATATATTATTATCTATGTAAGAAAGATTTCATAATTTAAAAGCTTAAAAAGCAAAGCGTATATCAAGCATTATTTTTAATAAATGGCTCAAAAATCATTTGGTGTTTTTTTTTAGAAGCTAAGGAAAAATGGACTTCAACTTACATAAAATCTACTTTAATTTCCTCATTCCAGCATGGATGAGATCCACTTGCAATACTGGTTTGGTATGCAGTGTGTTGAAAGGAAACTTCCACAAAAGGGTGTACAGTATCCTGAAACACATAATAAACACTGACTAGATTGTTGTAATATTTTATATAGTTGACAAAAGATAGAAGGCTAAGAAGTTACTTGGTTACTGGTTGACAACTGGATGGATTATTTTTTCCAGAATTTCAAACAACCATTATTCACTCATTCATTTAATAACCATTTATTGGTTCTATTTAATATTAGGTACCTTTCTAGGATCTAAAGATAAATGGAACTTTGCCTTATGGATTTTATAGTTTATTAGGGGAAAATAAACAGGTAAATAAATAATTGAAATGAAATGTGAGAAATAAAATATAAATATATTCTAGGTATCACAGTTACTCAGGAGAGGAAGTGATTAATTTCCTGGGGGGTGAGGACAAGAAAAGCCTCACAGAGAAAACACTGCTTTGAGCTTGAGCTTAGAAACATTGAGCAGTAATGTGGCCAATAATACCAAGCTGTGTGGAGGCCATTGCAGGCAAAGGAAAGGGAAAGCATGTAGGTTTTCTAGAACAAGTAGCAGTATATGATGCTGCTGCTGGGTGGAAAGAGATGTGATGTGGCTGACTGGTGGATAAGGGCGAGGTCATCACAGATTTTTGTAGCATTCTAAGGAGCTTATGCCATATTCTATAGACCCTGAGGGCAGGGGAGCAGGGAATGAAATGGTTAGAATTACATTTTATAACGAGCGCCTTCATTGTGTTATGGAAAGTAAACTGGCAGCCCAACAGATTAGAGATGGAGAGACCAGTTGCAATTCAGGGCAAACAATCGAAACTGCACTTGATAAAAGTGCTAAATACTTAACTCATTTAAGATCTCTTCTGAGGCTACTGATTTTATTGTTTCTTTATATCTGAAGCGAGATGTGGATGATATGAAAGAAGTAGGCATATCCAAGGCTCTTCAGGAAAAACAACAGAGAGATACACACTTTAATTAGTTTTAATACTAGTTTTGGTGGAAGTAGCAGATTTTTGCCTATGCTTATGGACATATATAATCCAGTTACCCTGGATTTTAGAGTTTGCTTTGGATCTTCATATCACAGGTGGCTAGAGCTAACCAGATGACAATGACTGCTCTGGAAGAGTGGCTCCTAAATGCTGAAATATGTATTGGATCCAGTCTATGATAAAGTTTTCCTCAGCAAAAGGAGAAAAATGAGGCAAATGATACTTTAAGGTAATGTGCTTCCTATTTTGGGTCTTGCAACATTCTTTCTTTTACAAATGGATGATTATAGGAAATGGTGATTTTATGATGTCGTTTTACAAGCAGCCTTTGAAATGTGCATTTGTTTTGAGAATCTCAATTCTACTAAATAAATAAGGCTGGATATAAAAACAGGCTTAACATTAAAAATTTTTAAGTATAGATTAGTAGCTAGTAAGCAAACTACTTGTTTTTTATATGCAGAATTCACAGGATGTGGTAAACGTAAGATAAGCAAATAGAGCACATGTGTGTTAAACATTGATAGAGAGGTACACTTAATATTCCCGAGGTACCTGGGTACTAAATAGCCATATATGCACCACACACAAGACTAAATAGGTAAGAAACACTGGATATTCAGGATACATTAAATATACATGAGTATTTAATATTCATGATGCCTTAATTTGGTATCACCCAACTGTGATACCCATTCTGGCCCCACACGTCCTCTGTGCAAGAAACACAAATAAAACCCCTGTGTGCCTGCAGAAGAGATGGGTAAGATGGGTAAGAGTAAGATCTGATTTTTGCAGAAGTCATCTAAAATGACAAGTCTAAAACAGAGTCTACTCTCTCCAGAGTTTTAGTCCCAGTGGCAGAGAATAGTGCAGTTGGCAAGCGGCTTCACAAGTTTCCACAGTAGGGAATGGGGACAACAGGCATTTCTTTGATATACCACCCCAAAATACACATGTCAAAGTTCCTTCGGGCGTGTCAAACTTCTGAAAACTCTTAATACACAGCAATGACAGTAAACTCGCCTATCCAAATGAAGTTTTAAACTTTCACTCAGTTTCTGTATATGGAGCATTAATAAAGTGCAACGATGCACAAATTGGACAGTGTGGAAATTTACATTTAAGATAGAGCTTTTGTAATTCTCAAAATTGGTGCATATTACCTTACCTATTAACTGTTGTTTTCCTGCTAGGAATATTGTAAGCCCTCAGGATTCTGACAAGAATCTTAATATCTCCATCACAAATAGTCTGTGCTGACACTTTTTTCCTCTCTTTCCTCTGAGGCTTTAACTTTCTTTGTTGTTCAACAAGCTTACAAACTGCATGTGTCAACTGGCTAAAGAGTAAAAGAGATCAGCCACACATATAGACAAGATAACTTAGTTTTTAAAGATACCAATTCTAAAATTAATTATTGTAGATAAGGTCATTATTTTGAGCCACATTCTCTCCGCTGTGGGGAGACAGTTGTTTTAAACCCAAGAACGGAATCATTTTCTGTGTGCTATGTTCACCCTTATGTTAAGAGGGAATGTGATTGCTCCACACCCTTTGGGTGCATGGCCCAGCAAGAGACAAGGGCAGGAAAGGTAATTTCATAAAACATGATATTCTTTCAGAATATTTTCTTTGGGGGGTGGGAATAATTTTCTTAAAAGTGATTAGAAACTCAACTTTTCTACATGAACCTGAAATAGGAGTTAGTTACACATGCTGCCAACCCTGGTAACATAAGTCCATGAAATTAGAACTCTATGGTCACATCCATCTCCCCGCAAAGACTGAAAATAAAACACAACAGATTTCAGCATCCTAAACTAATTAACACTTATTGATAACACCACAAACCTGCAAGTGGCCCCAGGGCAGTTTCCCCAGAAGCACCCCTACTCCTGTTGCTACCCCTGAATTTCACAGATGGGACAGTATGAGAATTGAGATACTCTAGCCAAAGCTCCCCCGCCCTCCTGAGGGATCACCTTGCCCCTCTAGGGCTAATGATTCACAGTTTTGAAAGGGATAGATGACAAGCTTAGTGTGTGGTGCTACCAGCAATGACTTTTCCACTAGCAATCTCAGGACAGGAAAATCTTAGGGCAAAACTAGTTTGAGACAAGTTTCTTTTCTTTCTTGCCCTAAAACCTATCAATAAGGACAGCATTAAAAACTAAAATACTATATAATTGAAAATACATATTATATCGATATGTCAAAAATGCAATATTAAAATGACCAAATATATTTTAAGTGACCATATTTCACTTCATGCTTTGTAACTGCACCTTTTGACATGTAACTTAATTAATATAAATATAGAGAACTTATTAGAGGATTTTGAAGGCATTAGCTTAAAACTTTATATTTCATACTTGATAATTTTAGTATGTACCTTGCAGATACAATTTCTTCATAATCAGCCACAATATCTGATAAATTAAATTTGCTAACTTTGACAAGTCTTTTCATTATCAACTTTCTCATCTACAAAAGAAATTTAGAATTTAAGAAATGCAAAGTTTATATTTTAAGTCAATTATTTACAATGCTACTGGTGTCACTATTTTTTCACCCCTAATTTTTGCAAACAATGAGTGGAAAGGGGGATTAGATAAGTGAAAATATGGCTTTGTTTGCTCCCATTATTAAAACCATTCCTCACTCTCACATTCATGTCACACCAAAGCACGTTTTTTTTCTACTTTTTTGTTCTTCCATAACCTTTCATGTCATCTTAAACTCTGTTCTTATCTCTTTTTACACCTACCCTATCCCAACTTAAGCTGCTTCATCCCTTCATGCCCTGAACTGCTGGGGTCTTCTACATTACTAGTAAGTGAAAGTAAGGATCCTGGAAAAATGCTGGTGTATTTCTCAAAGTGAACTTTTAGGGTGAAGAGTACAAAGTTGTTAATGTTTGTGTTTAAGCAGGAAAAGTTGGGATGTGCACTAATGAGTTCGCTGTCTGTTGAAGTAACCTCTGCATCAACAATGTAGATCGACAGTGTACATTACAGATGGTAAGTAGCTAACTCTGAAAAGGAAGTGAAGAGAACAGAAAATCTCTCCGTGATCAGAAAGAGGGGGTGAGCCAGTAGACTTGCCTGTCTGACTCTCTGGGAAGAGTGTAGTACCCCAACATCCAGCAGGCCAGTTTTTACAGGAGTAAATGCAAGCATATTGATAATATTATTTTGTTGTCGTTACCTTTTTCAGAAAATTGGCAGAACTAATCCTTTGTGCAGTAATAGAATTCACATCTGAAAAGGGCACATCCTTTTCTATCTGACTTTCACATTCCTAAACAGAAAATTGTTAGTTTCATTTCTTGAATGTAACAGGGTTCAGATATGACATACTGCAATAAAATGTTAAATATTTATTTCTGGCATTGACAGAAGAAAACATTTCTTTGAGATTCCCCCACTGAGAATTAGCTAAAGACAATTTATATTTTGTTTGTTTCTAGGATGAGGTCTAGTCATGTTTTAAAATAGAGTAATGATTGAGAAAAATTTGCGATTATGAACATGTGAAGATGATTGATGAATATTCTTCATGTGTGCATTGCAATCACTAAAAACAAAAGCAGTGGGAAGCAGTATAACAGTCAAGAGAGTGGGCTTTGGAGGCATACAGTCCTGGGTTCAGAAACAGTGTGGTTTAGGAGAAAGTTGATAAACTGCTGCAGACCTCAGTTTCCTCTTTTGTAACACTACTACTACTAATACTACTACTAGTAATAATGATACCACTTATGTCACAGGATTGTGAGACTTAACTGAAACAATATCTGTAAAGTGCATGGCATATAGTAAGAAGTCAATATATGCTGACTATAAATCAGTAACTTTAATTTTACATTCAGTAGTTGGTATAAGATTATTTGTTAGCCCCTGGTCAATGTGGCTCAGTTGGTTGGGTATCATCACATGCACCTGGGGGTTGCTGGTTCGATTCCAGGTCAGGGCACATGCCTGGGTTGTGGGCTCAACCCCCAGTGGGGGTGTGCGGAGGCAGACAATTGATGTGACACTCTCATGTCAATGTTTCTCTCTCTCTCCCCCTCTGCTTTCCTCTCTCTCTAAAAATCAATAAAAAAAAATTTTTTTAAAGATTATTTGTCAGGATGCTTCATCTACATAATTTAAAATAAATTTGCATCTGTTATATCTACGCTTGTGGGATACATCCCTAATTCACATGGAAATCATTTTACATTATAGGTATCTTTAAAGACCACACAAAAATAATGAAGTAGCTACTTTAGAACTTTCAGCCATATTACAGTGAACATTATTATTGGAAAGCTATTTATTTTGTTCTTCTAATTATCCACAAGAAATCTTGAAATTAATTATGTTGGCAAGTAATGAATTTTACCTAATAGTATATTAATATTTCATATTACTTTATTTACTTTTAAAGTATTAATTTATAGGAGTTTCTTATTAATTTTTGTTATGTGTATTGCAAATATATTTTCCAAATCTTTGGGGGTTTAATTTTATTATTATAAAATTATTCACCTTCTTTATAATTTATACATTTCTAAATTAAATTTATTGGGGTGACATTAATAAGATTATATAGGTTTCAAGTGTATATTTCTATGATATATGATTTTATATTGCATTGTGTGTCCACCACCCAAATGTAACCTTTAACCTAAATTTGGTATTTTTTTAATATTCATTCATGTTGATATGCATGGCTCTAGATCAGTGGTTCTCAACCTTAGCCGCACATTGGAATCACTTGCGGAGCTTTAGGTACTACTGATATGTGGGTTCTACCCTCAGAGATTCTGATGTGATAACAGTACGGTCAAGTTGTGAACTATTGTAAATTGGTTCATACTTTTTTTTTACTGTCTAGTTTTCATAGTATTATTACTTCACAATTCATGTATCGATTTTCTGGTTGATGAATTGTTTCCTTTTTTTTTTCTTTTTTTCCTATTTCAAGCAATTCTGTAATGAACATTGTTGTGTTTGTCTCCATACCGTTTTTTTTAAATATGGGTTTTTTTCATTGATTTCAGAGAGGAAGGAAGAGGGACAGAGAGACAGAACTGCTATCTTGAATTCTGTCATTTAAATCACATATTTGCATTTCTTTAAGTTTATTTTCTGGAGATTTTAAATTTTCTTTCTGAGCTGCCTCATTACCTTGCTTATTCATGGTATTTGATGGATTCCTTCTTTGTCTAGGCATCTATGTATGAGCAGCATTTTTAGTAGATTGATAAGAAGTCTTTCTATTGTTTTCCAGTAGGTGGCATTGAATCACAAGTGTTTTAGCTCTCTTGAGCTTCTCTAGCTTTTCAGATCTCCATAGGGTGATGGGAAATGGTGTGTGTTCCCTGGGAAGGTGGGCACCTTCAGAGATGAAACACTAATTCCTTTCTGCCTGAACCATCTCTTAGCAAGCTTAAGTGCTGCGATTACTGCAATTGGTTATTCCTACAGGAAATAGCCCTTACAATCCACTATTTTAAGACTAGTGATGTACCATTAAATGTTTAACAATCACTTCTCTGGAAGTGGGAGAGGAAGTCCCAATTTGTAGCATTTGCTGATTTATGGTGTAAATATTCCCCCAGCATCAGATTTAAAGCAACCAACATGAAGTCACTGAAGGTGGAGTTGGAGAGGTGCACATTAGACTCTCATGGCGGGTGATAGCAGGTTCCAGCATACCACCGCCACACAGCATAAAACTAATTTTTCTTCCCTCACCCCCATTTTAAAGTTCCTGAAATTGAGGTGTGCTTTATAATCAGTGTGCAAATTTAATGTGGTAGTTTCTTTCCTTTATATCCAAGGTTTCTTTTAAATTGGTGATACATTTTACAATAGCAAAAATATAGTATTTACCTAAATTTAGAATATAACTAAAGGATTTCAGCTATGAAACAGGTAGTTTGGACAACTAAGTTGCAAAGTCAAGCTAAGGACTTTCTGGAATTAGGAGATCTGTACATTTTTAGTGCTTAAAGAAGGGGGAAGGGGAGTCTGTCTACTGATTATCAGTTAAAAAAAGAAATTAATACAGATTGAAAGCATCAAAATATTAACATCATATAAGTCATACTCAAATAGAAACCAAGTACCTGGAAGACTGAATCTGGAATCTCTTCGTCATAAAGGGGCATTTGTTGCAGAGGGAAAATATCTAATTGACCTGCATTTCTAAGTTGCAAGAGCTGGAAACGTTTACTTTTATTCATTTCCTCTTCAGAAACAAAATTAAATTCATCTTGCAACTGTTCAAGACGAAAATACTTTGGAATATCCTTTCCTTTATGTTTCATGTACTGTAAAACATAAATAATGTGAAGTCCTGACTTAATATATTAGTTTTTTAAAATTCAAAAATTATTTCAAAACACATTTTAAGGTATAAAAATGTCAAATCACTATATTGTACACCTGAAGTTAATATAATATTGTATCGCAACTATAATTAAATTTTAAAATATTAAACAATGGAGAAAGGAAAGCCTCTTCAATAAATTTTGTTAGGAAAATTGGAAAACCACATGCAAAAGAATAAAACTAAACTGCTATCTGACACCATACACAAAAAAATACTCAAAATGGATTTAAGACTTGAATATAGGACCTGAAACAATAAAATACATGGAAGAAAATATAGGATCCAGGAGATCGAGGTTCAATTCCCGGTCAGGGTACATGCCCTGGTTGCGGGCTCGATCCCCAGTAAGGGGCTTGCAGGAGGCAGCCGATCAATGACTCTCTCATCATTGATGCTTCTATCTCTCTCCCCCTCTCTGAAATCAATAAAGATATATATATTTTTTTAATTTTTAAAGAGACAGAATCAGAGAAAAAAATACAGAATCCAGCATACATGGCTTCTGAACCTTTCCCTGGTCATGGCGTATATAGAAAATTAAATTATTTGTATTGCAGATAAAAAATATGATAATAAAGTGACAATAAATACATATCTATCAACAATTACTTTAAATGCAAATGGATTAAATGCTCCAATCAAAAGACATATGGTGGCTGAATGTATAACAAAACAAGACCTTACATATGCTGTCTACAAGAGACTCACTTCAGATTGAAAAACATGCACAGACTGAAAATAAAGGAATGGAAAAAAGATATTTCATGAAAATGAAAATGGAAATGGAAAAGAAAAGCAAGGGTTACAATACTTATACCAGACAAAATAGACTTTAAAACAAAGGCTATAACAACAGACAAAGAAGGTCCCAGCAATTCCACTTTTGGGTATTTATCCAAAGAAGCCCAAAACCCTAAGTCGAAAAGACATATACATCCATATGTTTACTGCAGCATTACTTACAGTAGCCCAGATCTGGAAGCAACCTAAGTGCCCATCAATGGATGAGTGGGTAAAGAAGAAGTGGTGCATATACACAATAGAACATGACTCAGCCATAAAAAAGAATGAAATCATACATCTGCAACAGCATGGATGGACCTAGAGGGCACTGTGCTGAGCGAAGTCAGACAGAGAAAGACAAATGCCAGATGATTTCACTTTTATGGGGAATCTAAAAAACACAATAAACGAACAAACGGAACAGAAACAGACTCATAGACAGAGAGATCATTTTGACCATTGTCAGATAGGAGGGGGTGGGGGTGTGTGAAAAAGGTGAAGGGATTCAGAATTACAAATTGGTAGTTACAGAATGGTCGTGGGATATAAAGTACAGCATAGGAAACATAGTTAATAATAGTTAATAACTATATATGGTGTCAGTGGATATTAGATTTATTAGGGTGATCACTTTGTAAGTTATATAAATATCTGATCACAGGGTTGTATCCTGAAACTAATATAATATTGTATGTCAATTGTAACTTAAAAATAAAAATATTAAAAACAAACAAAATTTTTAAAATCACACATTAAAAAAGATTTGCATTGCACACTGGCTGAAAGATGTATTTGGTTACCCTAAGAGTTGAGAGAAAAATCAGTATTTCTGTACACCTATAACCAATTCAATACATCAGTTGAGAGGCTCTGATCTAGGGAAACTTAATTGCAATCATCCATTTAAGTACTGCTTTATTCAAGAAATGCAAATGGGATTACAGGGTGCCTGCAAGGAAGAGTGTTAGTTGCCATAAGAGAGACAAAGACTTATCAGCTGTAGTTCCACAAGGCAGGATAAAACACATTAATGAATAACTACAGCATAAGGCAGAATGAAATTAGAACCATAAAAGTTTACAAAAAGGGAAAAAAGTTAACAGGAGGGCAAGAAAAGAAGAGCACATATTTAACTGAGGTTACCAAAGAAACGATCAGATTTGTGGGATGGTTAAGGTAGCCTCTATGGGTGGCCTTCTAGGACGAGGGGTTAACATGAATAAAGGTGAGAGGAGAGCATGTTTTGGGCGCATCTACTCATATTTCTATGAACAGTTCTGTTGGCTATAAGGAAGAACAGAAGCGAATAGATAATGGAGTCTTTGAGGGAAGGAATATGTCTGTAAGTTTTCTTTAAAGATCCAGCATCTAATGTAATGGCTGGCACTAGACGTACAACAGCTGCTAGCCTGAAGGTTAGCCTGTAGGATGTGCTGTGGGCTGCTAAGTAGTGGCACAGAACAAACCATCAGGCCTCAAGTAGTAAGTATTTCAGTTGCTGCATTTCTAATTGCCTTTATAATACTGTAAACTGGTTGTAAACTGTGTCCGTCCTCGGATTTACATTTATAAGCCTCCTATGGCCTAGAAAAATGTGCAGCACTCTATGGAGGAATAAAGAGGGCCGAGCTTAGGAAATAGAATATATTTCCAGAATGGATATTTGCTACAACTTACCATAATAAATTCTATTAAATCAGAATATTCTGGATTATTTGGGTCAATTCTGACTTCATCTGCCCATTCAAAAAGCTTCTGCGTATTAATGAGCCATGGAATTCCAGGAACGCCTCTCGCATCTACATTCCTTAACACACTAACATAGAGAAAAATATTTATGAATTTGCATCCAATATACAGGTTATGCATTTGTTACATAGGCAAAACCTACCCATTTCAGGTAAAGATAATGCCCATCCATCACCTACAGTTAAGGATAAAATAGGTGTAGATTTGAGACCTCTTCTGACTCTTCTCAGAATATTCTAATTTGTAATATCACGTTTAGATAAATGTCCACCCCCTTGAGAGACGGTAAACTTCCTGAGGAGGGTAAAGTCTGTAAACATTCATCTTTGTCATCTCCACTCTCCATGTTGCAGCTAAAACATAGTGGATGTTGAATAGCGAATAATCCTCATCGGATGTATTCTGTAAACCCTGAGAACAGTAATTTATTAAATGTTTTCTTTCCATAGGATGCACAGTATTGAAATTTAACCAAGATGTTTGCTTAAGCAAAATTAATAAAATCCACAATATATAAAAATCTTTAGGGTATATCTTTACAGTTGAAACACAATATAGAGTATCAATTAACTGGGAAGTACTGCCAAAGGAGTATCTTTGTTTGGTCATATGAGGCCATCTTCAGAAGTGGGAGAGCTATAAAAGATAGGGTAGACTCATAACACGTCCTTGGTGACCTCAGCTATAGGCTCACTGCAGAAGGAATTCAACTCTGAATAGTAACAATTTCTTCAGAGCCGTCAATTACTTCAGTTATTTAATCTCTGCCTTCATAGATAATCTGTCTAATCATGGGTAATTAGAGGGATTTTGGACTAGAAGACTTCTAAAGATCCTTCCTATAAAACACTTAAGAACAATTCCAGCCTATCAACTGGATGCCCAAAATACAGTTCTGACTCAGATTCAATAATGCTTTAGTCCAAACATGAGCACAGATTTTGCACTGTCTACTTTCCATTAACATTGATTCATATTTCTATGATGAATCTTTGGAAACTATTGCCAACAAAGCCAATTCCTGGTATAATAGGATATTAAAATTTTTTATATATATATGAAGTTTTAGTATTCTTCCTTTCCTTAGTTCCCATTTCTGCCCTCATATTGGAACTGTTTTGATGTCTTTGTCATAAGAGATCTCTAGGGCCTGACATCCTTGACATTATCATGTAACAAATTTTCCTTCTCATGGGAACAGTCTTAGCCCAGGTTCCTTAGAAAACAAAGCCTGAGGCAAAGCATAAATGTTAAAGAATAGATTAGGGAGTGAAACTTACCCCATCATAGTCTTAAAAAAAGTTACAATTGGATTTCAACAAAATCCCATGATTTGTACCTCAGGAAAAGTAATGAAAACCTCAGAACATCTCCTGCCCTTGCTGTAAGGATTCCTCCAGCTGTCCCTGTAAGTGTTCATCTGTGGGCTGTGGCAAAATCCCTGTCATCTGCACTCTCTCCTCCACCGGATGCCAATCAACACAGGAACCAGTGGGTTGGGTTACAGAAGAAATATGTGAATAAAAAGCAGTGTATGCAGACCAGTGACCACACATGTGAGGGCTTAGGTAGACAGGAAGAACAGCCAAAAAGTGTTTCAGGGTTTAATCAGATGATTGGGTTTTTCTTTGTTTAAAAAACAACCCCCAGGAGGAGAAAACAAGATGGCGGTGTAGGTAGTAGCTGTGCCCGCTGCCTCCCGCAACGATATCAAAATTACAACTAAAATACAGAACAACCATCACTCAGAACCTCCTGGAATCTAGCTGAACAGAAGCCCTACAACCAGGCAACTGAAGAAGCACCGAGACCGGTAGCAGGGGCAGAAACGCGGGCGGATCGGGGCTGGACTGTGGAGACTCAGCCGCGGGCCCACACCCAGTGCAGTGGGTTAAACTCAGGAGGGAATCTTGGTGGTGGAGGTTTCCCAGAGGAGTGAGGGGTCCCAGCCCCACAGCAGGCCCCCAGCTCCACGGCCGGGAAGAGAAGTCTCCACAGCTTCGGGCTGTGAAAACAACCGGGGACTGTTGCTGAGGGTCTCAGAGGCTGTGGGAGCCCCAGGCAGCTCCTCTTAAAGGGCCGTGCACGGACTCACTCAGATGCGCTCCCTCTGAGCCCAGCGCCAGGCAGCAGCTTGAAAGGACCTGGGACACTTGGGGAGGAACTAACCTGCCTGAAATCGGGGGGCGGGGGGGGAGGGGTGGCTTCCTCCCAGGCAGAAGAGCTGGCAGAGGCCATTGCTCCTTTGGCGAGTCTTCCCCACACACAGCCGGCAGGCAGGTGCCATATTTGAATCGCCAACATCTGACTCACACCTTTGGCACCGCCCTGTGATTCCTGGAGGCCCCGTCCCTCCCCACCTGCAAGCTCATCCAGGCCATTCCCAGGGGCNGGCCATTTCCAGGGGCTTTTCTGTGCAAGTGGCCTCTCGAGCCTCATGCTTAGGACTTTCCTAAAATCTCTCAAACAAGAAGCAGTGTGCCCCATAAGGCTTGATAAGCGGCCCCAGGCCTGGCACTAGTGGCGGCCTGCATTGGCTCATAGCTTGGCCTCTCCTGGACACCGCCAAGCCCAGCACAAGTAGCATCCAACTACAGTTTGCTGAGTAGCTCATGTTGTGTGGCCCTGGGCAAGGCACAGGCAGAGGCTGACTTTGCATCTCCCGGGAAGCCCCAGAGACAGTGCACCTGATGGTCAGACTCAACCATGCTGGATTACAACCCTACCACATCCACGAGTGACACACTCAAGGGGCGCACTTGGTGAACACCAAAGCTCCACTGAAGTAAATTCTGCTCCATAGAGGTGTCTCCAGCACAGCAGCTCTTTGGCTGTAGTTGCAGCAGTTCCTCACAGACGATTGGCCTGGGGGTCAATTCCTCCCAGTGACACCAACAGCAACCAAGGCTCAACTACAACAGGACAGTGCACACAGCCCACACAGGGGAGCACCTAGAAGGCCCAGCTCAGGTGACTGGGGAGGCTGAGCCACTGGACCCTACAGGACACCTACTACACAAAGCCA